TAGGCATTGCGGTGGTAGGCATTGCGGTGGTAGGCATTGCGGTGGCATCCACGGCGCCCGCGTCCATAGTATTTGCATCCACGGCGGTCGCTTCGATTGATGCCTTTGCATCCATGGCGGCCGCACCCACGGATATGGCAGGCATTGCGGTGACAGGCATTCCGGAGGCATCGGCAAGTGCCTGTGAGACATCTTGCAGGCTAATGCAGAGGGGTGCGTCTTCTCGCTTGAACATTTGTTGCAGAGCTTCAATGACGACGACGCCTACTCTTCGGAGCCTTGTCTTGGAGTCGGTGTTGGCAGCAAGAAGAGTGGCGAGATGGGCGAGCTGCGGGTGTTGCATGTTAACCGGTCGCGACACGAAGGCGCGCGAGTCCCCAAGGAGCATGGCGCCATTAACTGCACAATTGGGCACAGTCGATTCGGTCTTGCGATAGTCGAACACGGTGAGTTGGCCAAACTGTTTGTCACCCAAGTGATTCTGCAGGTCATTCCAACCCATGTAAGAGCCCCCCAGACCACAATGGGAGGATTGTGTGCTGCTCTCGCACAACTCACACAACCCAAGCCATGGCCCCAGGGCGTCCTCTGATGTCAACAAGCTTGTGCAACCCCTCATTGTCTCTAACAAGAAAAAATAAATACCGTCTCCCACCGGACGTTCTTTCTGGACGTACTGAAAGTGTGTGTCCAAAAGTGTGTGTGTGTCCAAAAGTGTGTGTGTGTCCAAAAGTGTGTGTGCGAACGCGACCGGATCACGCAGACACTGGAGTTGCGCGTTCGGTAGCACGGCGGGCTCTTTTTTTACACTGCATCCGATCCCAAGCAATTTCCAGCTCGGTCGAATACTGTAGTTTGTATTTTAGTATCTCTAGGTAGTCGCAGGACTTAAGTCGCTCTACCGTCTCCGTGGTAGTAGGCTGGAACCAGGGGGCATCTCGTAGAGTGTTGATCGCGATCTCCAGAGTGGCCAAAAAGTTGCACACTATGGATTTGAACGCACGACTGTCTCTAGAAGCTGGAACATTGCTGTATAGAACCAACAACGCCAATCCCACAGCGTACGCTTGGAACTCCGGTGCCAGAGCGTCTACGGGGCTTGAGTCGGTGCCGGCACTCAACACCAGATCGTAACCCAAGACATGTAAACCAGACTCCGTTTCAAGACCGGTCTCAGCACCAGGTTGGGTCTCATGATCAGGTTGAGTCTCATGATCAGGTTGAGTCTCATGATCAGGTTGAGTCTCATGATCAGGTTGAGTCTCATGATCAGGTTGAGTCTCATGATCAGGTTCAGGAACAGGACCAGTATTGGACCCGCTGACATGTGCCCCCGCGGCGACATATGGATCGTCACGGGTGTGCACTTTCTTGGTGAACCAAGAGCACCACCCTGGCCCTGAGGTTTGTGGATCAATCTGTTCGGTAAGGGGGGGTAATGCGGCTACAGCTTGCGAAATGTCTTGTAGAGTGAGAGTTAATTGGCAAGTTTCTGCGTTTGTGAACCGTTCGGTCAAAGCATCGATGATGGAAACGGCGACATCCCGGAGCTTAACACCTGACAGGGTGGAATTGCTTTTTAAAAGACTTGCCAGACTCTCCAACTTAGGGTGCTGTAAATTAACCAACCTCGAACAGAACGTCGTCCTACGACCCAAAAGCATAACTCCATTGATGCCACATGGGGTCACCGGCACCCTCTTGAACCTGAGTAATCGAAGCTTGCCAAATGCCGGCTGACCAAAATGACGTTCTGCAAACGGCTGAGTGACATACGCCCCCGTCTCCTCTCCGAAGTCGGTACAGATCGCACACCAACTTAACCATGTCTCCATCGGAGGAGACTCTTTCGCGTCGCTTGTACAACCCTTCATCCGTTCAAAAAAAAAAAATCGATCGCAGTTAGCTGTGCTACCAGTTGCGTTTCATGTCTCTGGCTTTGTTACGGATGATGCCCAAGACCAATTTGTGTGCAGCGGCCGAACGCAGCATACTTTTTAACCTCTGGATGTAATCTTCCGCCGATTTGGTCTTTGAAGATGTCTCGCTCATCATCGAACATGTCTCGCTCATCACCGAAGACGGTTCGCTCATCATCGAACATGTCTCGCTCATCATCGAAGACGGTTCGCTCGCCGCTAAAATAGAGTGCTGGTCTTCGGGGTTGAGGTTGCTGCAAATTTCACGTTGCAGGCCGGCTTCGTTCTCTCTCCGAATTTTACAATGAAGTTTGGCGAGGAAATTACAGACGATGATCTTGAAGGAATAACCGTCCTTGCAGTTGGGCACATTGCTGTAAAGTGACAAGAGCGCCAAGCCTACTGCAAAGGCCCTGTATTCATGGCGCAGTTTGTGCAACAAAGCATGATTCGGTAAATCGCACAGCACTTCTCCGTGACCGAAAAACTCGCTGCCGTCCCAGTCATGCCGGTCCCGGTCATGCCGGTCCCAGTCATGCCGGTCCCAGTCATGCCGGTCCAAGTCATGCCGGTCCAAGTCACGCCGGTCCCAGTCATGCCGGTCCAAGTCATGCCGGTCCCAGTCATGCCGGTCCAAGTCATGCCGGTCCAAGTCATGCCGGTTATCCATAACAGTCTCATCATCCGTCGGTAGCTCAGTGGAGTCGCCTAGACACTCTGAGATGTCTTCGAGACTCAGCTTAAGGCCGTACACAGACGTGTTCCTGAATTTTTCTCCCAGAGCGTCAAGGACGGGTATAACGGCTTGGCGCAGGTGGACCTCTCGTAGAGAAAAGAGGCTTGAGAGACGTCTTAGTTTCGGCCTGCTCATGTCAACTGACCTCGAAACGAAGGCCATGCGGCGTCCCACAAGCATCACGCCGTTGATGCAGCCTCCTTCCTCCTGTACCTCTTGGAACAGCAACATCGGCAACTTCTCCGCCATGTCGGGACCGAAGTGACGAGCCAGCGCACCGTAGTTCATGTACGGCTTCCGAGGCTCGCAGGGACAGCCGGTCAGTGTGCAAATTTCCAGTACACTCAACCAAGGGCACGGCAAAGTCTGCCCTTCCGAAAGGACACACCACCGACAACTCTTCATCGCGATTATTTTTCTGGTTTATTACTCCCAGACCCCTCACGTCTTGTCCCAGAAGGGGGGTTCGAGTCCTGGGGTTGTAACAAAAAGTTCAAGCATGACTTGCCGAATTAGTGTAGCGAGGGAAGGGTTGCCACTCGTGGCCAGTTCGAATTCCGGCGTAAAGTATGGTGTAATAATCTTGTAGGTGGCGAGCTGCGTGCCACTCGGCCTGCTCGAAAGTCAGCTTGTCAAGATCGTCTCTGAGCTCGGCGAGGTACTCGTCCGTGGTCGTAGGACGAGCCGGTCCTACTAGCTTCAGGACCCCCTCCGGCAGCTCTCCCAACCTGATAGTATTGTTGATGTCGGCCAAGAAGTTGCAAATGATTCTAGATACTAGATGTGCGCCGATGGCCTCCGTCGTTTGAAGACATATTCCCAACAACGTCAAGCCGACAGCGTACGCCGACAGTTCAGGTTCCCAATCCTTCAGGGCCGTTTCCCCCCGCACGTTCGCCTTCAGATAGTTATTGAAGCCCTCCGCCTCACTACCGAGCACGTACACGTGCCCAAAATACTCCGAACCATCCCAGTCATAGGTCACACCACTGTCTGTCACATGCACAACGGGTGCCTTGTCTTCCTGCACAACGGGTGTTGCCGGAGAGTCGACAGGTGTTGCCGGAGAGTCGACCGCCGGGGTATCGGCCTTATGGAGAGGCTCTAGAACGTTGTCACCTGGCTCCTCCACGTCTTCTGGGATCACCCGCCCGGCTTCCTTGATTGACGTATCTTCCTTCATTGACGGACCTGCCTCTGCTGGCTTTCCGTCCAACGACCGATCACCAGTGTTTTCTCGCAGCTCAGCACCTAAAGCCTCAGCACCTAAAGCCTCAGCACCTAAAGCCTCAGCACCTAAATCCTCAGCACCTAAAGCCTCAGCACCTAAAGCCTCAGCACCTAAAGCCTCAGCACCCAAAGCCTCTGATATGTCTTGTAGCCTCAGTTTCAAGGGATACTTTCTGGCGGCTTTGAAGCGGGACCTGAGAGCATCAATGATGGTGATGACGGCTTCGTTAAGACGTCCAATTTCACGGCCATGTGGTAAGTGGATGAAACGTGCAAGTGTCTGTAGTTTGGGATTCTCCCAGTCCACCGGTCGCCAGATATAATAACAAGGATTGGTCGATAGGATACCGTTGATCTTGCAATCATCAAGACGGAACTTAGCAGAGGTGACAAGTTTGTTTGGCCGAAGAACGCGTAGTTGTCCTGCTTCCAAATGAACAGCCAACTCATCACGGGACAGGTACGGCATGTTCGCCAGCCGTGTCGAACTATCCTTCGCACACGTGCTGCATAAAGCTACCAAAGCTGTCTCGAAGAACCTCCCGCCCTCTAAACCGCACTGACATCCCTTCATCCCTGAAATTTTTCGCCTCCTAAAAAAATCACGACCTCATATAATTTGTCAACGTGCTGAACTAGCTAACAACATTCAACACTCGCCATAAGCTAATGGCGAGTGTTGAATGCAATTTAAAGTCTCTCTCCCTGTGTAAATAATATCTCTTTAACCGATGTTCTTTAACCGATGTTCTGAGTGCGGCGTGATGTCGTCTCTCCCACTGGCTGTCCTTCCCAACGGATAAAGACCACCGTTAGCTTGTTCTTGGCAACCACCGCTCGAAACACTTCATTCTGGAGTCATGCATGGTCATCACATCAAAAAAAGTTCGACGCTCACGGACTTTTTGCTGTGGGACATTGTACCACGTCAACAAAGTGTTCGTAATGAAAGACAGGAACGGCGGCCATCTCCCAACAAGCCAGGAACGTCTTGAGCCTGACACTGCGAGACTAGTTGGGTCTAAGACCATCTCTCAACTTACCTCCATTTACGTGGGTCTCCTATATCTCCTCTCATACATCGATCCTTAGCAAAAAGCACACTGGCCGTATTCCCAGCCATGTTGTTTAAGAAAGATGGGGCCGCCATTCCCTGTTCGTTCGTATTCCGGCGTAGAGAATGGTGTGATAGTCGTCGAGGTAGTGTTCTCTGTCTCGTCGGTAGCCGACGAGTTCACCCTGGTTAATTACGTCAATCAGGTGGTCGAGATATTTTTCTGTGGTTGCGGGAGGAGTGTCCCGCTGGCAGTTTAACTCCAGAACCCCTGGTGGCAGCTCCGCAAACCTGATCGTGTTCTGGATGCTGGCCAAGTAGTTGCAAACGGCTCGATTCAACAAAGACACCTCAACGGCCTCTGGTACATGGACGCACATACCCAACAACGCTAAGCCAACAGCATACGCCGCCAACTCAGGTTCCCGTTCCTTCAAAGCTTTTTCCTGCCACTCGTGCTCCTGGGATGCCTCCAGCCCCTTGATGAAACCCATCGCCTCACTACTGAGCACGTACACGTGCCCAAAATACTCCGAACCATCCCAATCATAGGTTACAGCACTGTCTTCCTGCACAACAGGTGTTGCCGGAGAGTCGACCGCTGGGGGGCCGACCACTGGGGGGCCGACCACTGGAAGGCCGACCACTGGAAGGCCGACTGCCTGTAAAGGACCCAATAGGTGGTCGCCTAGACCTTGCACTAGCGCGGGCTTCTTTGATGGGTTTACGGACCGGTCCTCCATCATTGACGGGTCTTCCATCATTGACCGGTCTTCCATCATTGGCTGGTCCTCCATCATTGGCAGGCCGGTTACTGGATGATTATCTGTTTCTCCCGGCATCTCAGCAGCCAAGACCTCGGACACATCCTGCAGGCTCAGCTTCAAGGGATACTTACCGGTGCCACTGAACTTCGACTTGAGAGCTTCAATGATGGCGACGGCGGCTCGGCGGATATTGATCGTGTGCCCTGGTGGCTTGATGAGGCGTGTAAGGTGATGCAACTTGGGACCCTGCAGCTTCACGGGTCGCCAGATGTAGCAACAAAAACCTACTGGAAAAACGCCACTGATGTTACAACCATCCATGCGGGACTTAGCGACTTCATGCAGTTGGTTTAGTCGGAGCGCTTTCATATCACTTTCTTTAAGATGAAAAGCCAACTCATCTCGAGGCAAATATGACACGTTCGGAAGCCGTGTGGAACTCCCCTCGGCACACGTACTGCACAAAGCCAGCAATGTTCCCTCCAGCCACTCATCGGCCACCAAACCACTTCGACATCCCTTCATCCTCCCAAAATTTTGGCAAGCGGAAAAAAACACAACCAAGAAAGTCCGCGCCATACGTCCACGCCGCTCGGTGCCGCCATGTTCATCTCCAAGCACCCCCTCTTTTCGTGCATTCATTCAGTGTCGCACGGCCGGCCCCAATGGGTGACTTGCTTCTTTGTGTGCGTGTGAAAAAAAAAGTTCCGTCGCTCAGTCCGAGGGGTGAGGTAAGAGGATCAGTCCGCTGCTCACCATTCTGGGTAGTCATCAATCCCGATCATGGTAGAGTATTGACGTTCAAAATGACGGTCACGGCCCGCAATGTAGTTAATGAGGGAATTAGCTTTCATCATGTACTTAAGCTCACAAAGATAATAACTGATTGGGATCTTTTCCTTCCACGATGAGCCGATTTCCACCGTCCGTCTTCGCTCCGCCTCTCTGGTCATGTGCGATTCCCTGATAAAAGTGCGACCTATGCCGTTACAGTGCCTGATCCTGGTCTCGAGCTTGCCCAAAAAGTTACAGACGATTGTCTTGAACGTATCGCTGTCTGTGCAATCAGCCACGTTGCTGCACAACGCCAGGAGCACCAGGCCCACTGCATAGGCTCTGTACTCATGCTTTAGCATTTGCCACACATCGTATTTGGGTTCTCGGGTCAGTACGAAGCCGTGACCGAAAAGCTCAGATCCGTCCCAGTCATATCCGGCTCGGGCCCCAGGCGCCGGCGCCTTGGCGGCGGTGTTACCTTCTGCGGCGTTACCTTCTGCGGCGTTACCTTCTGCGGCGTTACCTTCTGCGGTGTTACCTTCTGCGGTGTTACCTTCTGCGGTGTTACCTTCTGCGGTGTTACCTTCTGCGGTGTTACCATCTGCGGCGGCTGCGGCGGCTGCGTCTAGAGCTCGGTCTACGTCATGTAAACTCAGGGTTAAGCCGTACGCAGCGCTGTTAGTAGCGTCCAGCTTCACGCCTTCTTCAAGGCAGGTGTCGAACTTCATCTGGAGGGCGTCGATGATGGGAATTGCCACTTCTCGGAGCTTGATTTCAGACCCGGACAAGAGACCTGCAATGTTCGCCAGAGCGGGACTTCTCATGTCCACCGGTCGCCAAATAAACGCCCGGTCCGGGGCGGCCTTGAATACGCCACTGACCTTACAGTTGCTTAACGGAGGCTGGCTCACTTTCCGGTATGAAAGCACACGCAACGCATCGAATTCTTCCTTCCCCACGTGTGTACGCAATTCGTGAAGGTTCAGGTAAAGAGGATTAGCACTTCGGTACGGGCTTAGGTGGCTGCAGCCTTCACACAAACTCAACCAAGGGACTACAAATGCTCCCTCCACTCCGCTTGCACTTGGACAACTTCTCATTCTATCCCAAAAAAATGCGGACACAAAAATGTTCCCGGACACACAAACGTTTGCTGATAAGAAAGAACGGTCAGTCAATGTCAGTCCGGTTCCTAATTACGCCTCCAGCTTGCCCAGGAGACTATGTTAGGAGGAGGCGTGCTTGGCACGTGTTGGCCAGGAGACTATGTTAGGAGGTGCTAGGCAGCACCATTCGTCCTTATTGTATGAGAAGCGACCCCTCTTTCGCGGATCCGATTCTTCGCTGTTGATTAACGCCTCTGACACGTCTTGCAGACTCAGACCGTAGGCCGCGGTATTATTCGGTCCCAGTTCTAGCTGGCGTGCTTTCCGGGTAGTCTAACTTGGAATTTAACAGCCTTGCAAGGGTCGGTCACTCAACCCTCGACTCTGAACCATCATGGCGCCGCTGATCCAATGAGGGCCCTTCAACTCTTCGGTATTGAAGAGCAACAAGCGAACACACAACATTACATCTTCCAGGGTGCGCGCTTGCACACCGGTAACCAGCCCTAGGGTTGCTACATAGTTCATTCAGACAAGCGTCCCTTCCGAAAACTGTCTGAGGTCCCGTTGATCCATTCCCACGGTTCCCCACTTGCAATCGCCAACTTAAAAAAACTGACCCCAAACCCCGAAACTGAACCTCGAAATTGAACTTCGACACTCCATGGTAACCTAACTGCGAACCATGGAGGCGGCACGCACCCAGCCCCAGTGTCTGGAGGACCCCCTCAATCTAGTCGGCGACAGCTATTGGTCTCCGTACGATCATACCATACGATCATACCATACGATCATACCATACGATCATACCATACGACCGATCAGACTGTATCAACTACAGCACTGTACTCAAGAGTAATTGGCATCAGCCCGCGACTTACATGTCTTCTTCCGAATCCCGGCGGTGGTGTCAGGGGAATCTCGATTCCGATAGCGTTCAGGTGCATGCCATCGTTCCATCAAACAAATACCTGTACAACATCCTCGGAGCGGGTTCTCCCCAAGTGCTGCTAGAAAGCTCCCTCTGCCTGAAGACGTGGTGACAGGTGCGTATGCGATGGTCGTAAGAAACGTCAAAGGGACCTGTTTGGTGGAACTTGTTCGGTGGAAGCTTCTGTGAGACAACCAGAATGTCCTTTCATAGTGCGGCTTAGAGTACACGGTCACGCACCAGTACAGGATGATTCCACCATCAACATACGGGCAAAGAGGTTAAGTGTCTTCCAAAAGTGTGTGCGCGCACTTTGGATATGCGAGGAGTATCAGAGGTACATGAAAACCGAAATAACACCGCCAGTTTGATATGCACCCGCCGGGACTCGAACCCGGGCTGCGAGCTTGGAAGGCTCGAATCCTACCCTTGGACCACGAGTGCGGGAACGAAACGAGGTGTGTGATGCATATGTATAAGGCAGTGGTAGCGAGACGAGCCGAGTCGAGCGCATTTTCACAAGGCGGGGAACAGCTATGGAAAACACGGGCGGTGGAACTCGGGCGAAACGCTTTCGAAAGAGTACATCGGAGATTACGCGTCGCATGGCGGAATATCAGCAGATATCCACTCGCTCTACTAACGACGATTCTTTGCCAGCAACAATTGATATGCCGGCTTATTAACCCGAATGAAAATTAAAATGCCCTTGATTCACGACGAAAAAGAACGCGGGATATCAAGACCTCATGGAGAACGGGACTATGGATTTATTAGATCAGGGATCTGACGGTAGCTAATGCTTTCTTTGGTCGATGAAAGGGATTTGGACGAGGTGGAAGAACAAGCTGAAGAATTATATTGATCATGTTAACGATAGCATTATTGACGATAGCATTATTTGACGTCACCGATAGATATGAGCGTTTGATCACCTTACATATAAGGCAGGTGCGATACACATTGTTGTCCATCAAGAACAAATATTGTTACGATAAGGAGCTTCAGAATAGAGTACACATGCTGCTATGTGTGTATGACCGGGCTGAAGCACTACTCCCCATGAAAGCATCGAGAAAATCAGACGAGTGTTTGAGAAGGACTGTCTAAAAATCATGGGAGTAAGTGATACGGAACCTGCTACGGAATGCACTCCAGGCCTGACACGGAATGCACGAACAGGTCTGATGCCGAACGCCCAACCAGGTCTGATGCTGCTGAATGTCCAGGATGCTGAATGTCCAGGCAGAATATCGGATGCTGAAAGCGCCAGCAAACCTGACCCAATAAACACGACCGTTCGTTACCAAAAAGCAGCCCTGAGACGTTCGTGGAGAGTGGCCCGTTTGATCCGCTGTGTACCGTGGCTGGCGCTTTCGGCGCGTCCTGTTTTTTGTTTTACCGACTTCATAGGAGATAAAGTCGGGACAAAGTCCGGACAGACCAGCCGCGATCCCAATAACAGGATACAAGCCGGCATAACAGATTTCGCCACGACACACATGGGAGTCACAGATAAGTGCTGATGATGAAGAGTGCCAGAGAAAAACAAACAGCAACGGCGTACCGGTCGAGCTGGCGATTGTGGCACGCTAGCTGTCGCGATGAAACAACCGAGAGATAACTGGCTGCTTGGTCTTCTCAACCCTTGGTCTTCTCAACCCTTGGTCTTCTCAATTCTTGGTCTTCTCAATTCTTGGTCTTCTCAATTCTTGGTCTTCTCAACCCTTGGTCTTCTCAATTCTTGGTCTTCTCAACCCTTGGTCTCGGTTAGTGGTGGGTGAGGTGTGGACGTTTTGGTTAGGCCTGGACGCCTTGATTCCGGTGTAGAGTGGCGACGGCTACGATGCCGAGAAGTCTGGCCACGACGAGTATGGCGACCATGATGAGCCAATCGGCCCACCAGCTTCTGGGTGTAGTAAAGCCCATGCAGCGTTCAAGATAGTTGGTGTCGTTGGGGTCTAGTTGAGTACGAGAGATGGTTTGCCATGCGTATCTGATGGGTGAAATAGCCTTGAGCCAGACGAGTCCTTTGGGTATACTGTCATCTGAGATTTGGTAGCCTGAGACTAAGAAAAGAAGAACGTTGGTAAGGGGGATGAGGCCCATGCCTGCTCCGATGTTGGGTGAGAGAGCTCCGACGCTTGTAGATGATCCCCAGAAGGACATTTTAATGGTCATTGTGACGAGTAGCCAGATAAGGTAGGCCTTGGCAGAGTGTCGTAAGTTCATCATCCAATAGACCACGATTGCATAGATGAATGAAGCCCAGTAATGGAAGCAACCGTCCGAGATCCAGTTAGCCACCATAGCCGCTGGACGTGAGTAGAGACCGCCGCTCGCCTCACGATTAATCAATGGCCGTCGGTTAATCTGCTGGATGGCTGCATCGAAGGATGAAAATGCGGTGTTTGCCACGATCTGCATCATTCCACCTATAGCGTTACGCGTTACAGTTACATCACACACATCACTAGGCACCACCGGCTTCTTGATGTTGAACCACACGGTAGCTACGACCGTCCCGATGAGGAAGACTTGGACGAAGTTGATGTACACGAATTGCGGTCGTCGTGAAGACTCTCTAATACCTCGTAAAGATAGAATGTAAACATTCCGCAACTCCCGAGCAAAACTCCATGAAGGCCGTGTGGATAGACTGCCTGCCGCTAACCCAGTACTCATCTCCACTACCTGATGGTCTACCGCCTCCTTGCTTACCGCCGACGGGTCCACCACCTTGCCGCCTACACTTACAGTAGCACTAGCATTCTCGCCCTGGATCGAGGTTAATGGAGAAGACGCCTGCGACTCGGGAATAGGAAGCAGGACTGAGGGCGAGGAGGCCCCCGGTCGCCCGGTTGCTCTCCGTCGAATCTTTTCTATTTCGCTAATGGTCAGACTGTTGTCAAGGTAATTATCAAACGACTGTGCAAATGAGTCCGCCTCATCTGCACTAACCTGGATTCTCTGTGTGTTGAGATCTTGCTTCTCGAGGTTTTTCGTCTCGGTTGCTTGCTTCTCACCGGTCCGCTGATTGTCCGTGACATTACCGGCTTCGGTTAGAAGGTCTAGAAAGAAATCTGCCGGATTGTAATCGTCGGGACATGGATGTCCGATCTTGGCGAAGAACTCTAGTGCACCTTCACATGGTCCATGGTAAATACATTTGCCAGTTCTGAGTAGCAGGAGTCTGTCGAACATTGCATACACTTCATTTCTAGGTTGATGGATGGTGCAAACGATCGTTCGCCCCTTGTCTTCTGCTATTTTTCTCAGCGTCTGAATCACGTCGAATGCGAGGGCTGCATCAAGTCCACTAGTAGGCTCATCAAGGAACAAAACTCTCGGCTCATCCAGTAATGCAACGGCTATTGACACACGCTTCCGTTGACCGCCTGAGATACCCTTGACTTCAGAACCTCCAATAAGGACATCTTTACACACCTGCAGACCAAGCGCATCTAGTACACCATCCGCACGCGCTACCTGGTCATCGTAACTCAGATGACCCAATCTTAATCGCGCTGCAAACACCACTGTCTCACGAACAGTAAGCCTCTGTAAAAAGAAATCCTCCTGCATTACATACGCCGAAAAGTCATTCACATGCGCCAATAAGCCATCATTACCGTCATACAATATGTCACCAGTCACCGTTCCAGACTGACGATTTGACAATATATTCAAGAACGTGGTCTTGCCACATCCAGAGGGACCCATAATGGCCGTCATTTCACCCGGTCGTGCCAAGAAATTGATATCCTTCAGAAATGGAACTCTCACACCATCTCTCTCCAGATCCATACATATGTTCCGGGTAGCAACTGAGATTCCCAACATGTGAAAGACCCCCGTCAAAATTACGAAAACAAAATTACCCCTAACCGGTATCCCCCCCCCCTTGGCATTCCCTTGCTCGTTCGAAGAGTCCTTGCAAGTGGAACATTAAGGACGGGACATTAAGGAGGTAGAACCTGGTGGGAGTGGAACGTTAGGGAGGTAGAACCTTACGGTTCCCTAATTTTCAAAAAATTAATATTGTGGCGTGCTGCTTCTCGTCTTGGTCGCACGTATCTTTACAATAGGATCAAGGATTAGAATAAGGCACAGCGAACCTATCAAGTTGGTTAGTGAAAGAACTGTAGGATGGGTTACAAAGTGAGTTTGCAGTGGAGAGGTGAGACTTTGTCGTTGGAGTATGATAGACTGAATTGGACGGTGGGCGATCTGGTGGATCGAATACGGGAAATGACGTCGGTACCTCCAGAACGAATGCTGTTCATGGTTCCGGGCTGGACGTTGAAGAAGCCGACCAATCGGTCGCTTCCATTGTCTGAGTGTACTACTGATGTTCCGGAAGCCAAGGGTATCATGATGGGTACTCCTACTGGGCAAGAGTTTATTTCCGGTGGTCAAATTGCGGTGGTAGAACAGACTGTGGTGAAGCCGGCTGAAGATTTGGTAAAGGGCTATACTAACATGGGCAATACTTGCTACTTAAATTCAGTGCTCGCTATGTTAGAAAATTGCGATGGATTCCGGAATTTCATTATACAAGACACAGCTCAGCCCTCCAGTCCTCTACAACAGGCTTGGCAACGGCTGTGGGCCAATAAAGGACGCAACGTCGCGTCGGGTCCTAACGGTCTGTTCCAGCTCCTAACCAGCATCTACCCTCCTTTCGCTGCTAGAAGCCCCAGCAACCCATTAAGCAATCAACAACAAGATGCGGATGAATGCCTCACAGTTTTGTTCAACAACATCCGAGATACAACAAACTGGAAGAATCTATTTCAAATTAATTACCACCGAGAGTAAGGCTGTGGACACCCCCCCCCTGGCACAACCCCCCC